GAGGGTTAGGTTAATACAGACATTTATACTCTCACTTTTGAATAAGGAGTAGAGTCTAACAAATATTCTGAAGGCCTTGGTTTCAATCATTTCTATGTGTGGTTTCCATGGTATCCTCCTATAGAACATTACACCGAGATATTTACGTGATTGATGAAGGGATATCCCGTACATTAAATATAAATGAGCCTCAGGGGTTTAAGTCTATGAGAAAAGTAAATGATATGNTACGTGATTGATGAAGGGATATTCCGTCAATTAAATGTAAAATGAGCCTCAGGGGTTTAAGTCTATGAGAAAAGTAAATGATATGAGTTCTACATTCACTGATTTTTATGGTCTAAACATTACACCACGTCGCAATAGAACTGAGACCTCGGTGCAGCTTTCTACGTATGTAACCCGTTTTGCGGTCTGTCGCATACATAAAGGTGTCAACAGCAAAGAGACCTAGCTAGACATCAGGTGTCTGTAAGCAAAAGAAGAGCTAATAAGCTTGACTACATAGATCGAAAATTTTAGTTAAGTTAATTCTTATAGCATCCCAAGATGTCACGTTTTATGAATGTTTTTTTTTATATTCGAGTATACCTTAGTCGTAGAAAAATTTAAGGTCATATTATCCGTAAGCCTGATACACTTACGGGCGCGGAAACCTTCTTTTTTTCTGTGCACGAAGGTACCTTACTTAGGCTGTGGGTACAGTACAGATACTCAAGTAATTCCAATTAGTCTTAAATTTGATGGGTTACAGTAGCTGTGAGTGTCATATCAGACTGAATACTATGTGTTTCATCAGTTTAGTCATTTCCGTTGCGACCTATGTCCGGAATTTCGAAACTTGAAAACTGCAAAGCCGAAATTTTATCAGTAGCGTCTTATTTCACTTCACTAAATGCATCATCCTTATCACTGTCATAACCATCTAATTAAATTACCAATTCTCTTCCTTTCAGGTTAACCAAAGTAAGAAGCCCACTGAACTAAACTTATCTCCAAACAACTATTTTCGAGAATCTGTTTTGAATATAACGTCTGTAAATGAACTTTCTTTTTATCTATACCCACGTTGTTTCAATTTGGTTCAGCAGTGCTGATGATCAACAGTAGGTAATGTTAAGCTACTGATAAACAGCAGGTGCAGATCCCTGTATTTTGTTAAATATACATCAACGGCCTCCGTAGTCCAGAGGTAACGTTCCCACTTCATGACTCGTAGTACGTGGGTTCAAATACCCGGCGGATTTCGTCGAATTTTTAAGGGCGGAAAAATTCAGGGAACAAGTCCTCCGGGAGGGACTTTAAGCCGTGGGTCCCGTGTCGTAGCTTTACGGCACGTAAAAGAACCTCATGTCTCCAAAGGAGGCCACTGAGCAAAATTACGGACGTTTCCCGCCCAACAGTAGTCTCTAATACCTCTGGTAGATGGGGGAAGCATTATAGATACCACTCAGCTAGTAGAGGCCGATCTCGCTGGCTGGGCGGGACTGAGGGTAAGCACCAGTACCGATAGGATATAGAGACTGGTAGAATGTTATAGAGGGAAACACAATGGACCAATACAGGTCTAAGTGCATGGGGAAACCCACCCTCTCCAATAACTAACTAACTAACTAAATATACATCACATCAAGGAATATATGCAATATAGTTTGTAAACATCAACTATATTTATATTTTATGCCAAAATCCCACAATCATTTATTGAGCGACGGATTGTATTAAAGAAGATTTATGTTGTCTGATTTGAGCCTGATGCAATTTTTTTCAAAATATTTACCCTTAATTGATTATATTCCGAATGTCCAAAATATATCTCCTGTCTTTCAGTATTGCCGATTATACCAACACCTCTATTCTAATTCAGGATTAACTCCTGAGAGATCGGCCCGTCGCGACGCCTCTGCCTGCACAGAGCAACACAAATATACAGCAAATTCCATGACTTAAAGTTGATATTAGCAGTGGGTTCTGTCTCCTGGCTCTGCAAGTCGACTTCCTCGCTTATCCTCGTTTATACGAATACATCGCAGCGAGAGTACAGCAAATTCCTAACTCCCTAGGGACCACAGGGACTGAGGAGTGTCATTTAGAAGCAAGTACTACGGATCGAAGTTTATATTTGTATCCCTGAATAAACAGATGTTCTAAGAGCTTGTGTATGCAAACCCCATCCTGTACAGCTCAGAGGCTAATATTCGGTAGCCACCAAGTGCAGACAGACCCTGGTCTCAAGTCAGCGCTCATATCTCAGGGTGAATCCCAGGAACAAAGCGGTCGGGGAGAGCAACAAAGAACTCACCTCGGGCACAGGTTAAGATGCGAGGAACCACATGTCCGCTCTCCATACGTCTCCATGTTGTGAAGCTCTAAGCGAAACCTTCAATCTTTATTTCTTCACCTTGGCTTCACAATCACAAATAATAATCATTACTGTCTTCTATCAACCTCTTTTCTTCAAACATACGGACACTGATCTCTGCCTAAATGTGTGTCCTATTGCATTATTATAATTTTTGCCTGTGGCGCTACAGCCCCAATTTGGGCCTAGGCCTATCTCCATGAAACTCTCCGTTTCACTTTGGTTTACTAAATCTTACACATTCGCTAGGCCTCCTTGGGCGAGTGATCAGCTCGTCGCAAGGCCTCTACCTGTAGACAAACACAGAAAAACGCACACAAACATCCATGCCCTGAGTGGGATTCGAGCCCACGATCTCGGCTTCAGAGCGAGCGAAGACAGTGCGTGCCTTAGACCGCTCGGCTACGGTGACCGGCACAGTCGTGCTTAGTGCTACGAAATTATGTGGGCTACCGTGACCGGCACTGCATTATTATTACTATTTATTATTATTGTTAGTGGGTGAGACTGAGTCCACTTGGTACTGCGGCCACTACTGGCCTATTGTACCAGCCCCAGATGATAGGTGAGGGTGATTGTGGAGCACTTGGTGGAATGAAGATTGGCAAGGGAAACTGAAGTACTAGAACACCTGACCCAGTGCCATTTTATCCACCACAAATAACATATGTCCTAACGACGGCTCGAACACGGGTAGCCGCAGTGAGAAGCCAGATACTGACCGCCTGAGCTATGGCACGGCCTTCTATTGAATTATACCAAGACACTGTCCGAGTAACTCAATTTACGCAAAAAGTAGTAATTCTTACTTTAAAGAGTGTTGGAATTTGTTACTAGCTCAATCAATATATTAGATTCTAAAGCAACAAGGGATTATTTCCTGCATCAAGCTATATTTTATACAATGTAACTATCATCATGCCGGTCACGGTAGCCGAGCGGTCTAAGGCATGCACTGTCTTCGCTTGCTCGGAAGCCAGGATCGTGGGTTCGAATCCCACTCAAGACATGGATGTTTGTGTGCGTTTTTCTGTGTTTGTCTACAGGTAGAGGCCTTGCGACGAGCTGATCACTCGCCCAAGAAGCCCTACCGCATGTGTAAGATCTAGAAAAACCGAAGTGAAACGGAGAGGTTCATGGAGGTAGGCCTAGACCCAAATGAGGGATGTAGCGCCAATGAGAAATAAAATTGTCATCATTCTCCTGTAAATGAAATCCGTGTAATCTTTCTTTATTCCTTGCGTTACTGCCTGTATAGGTCTCAGATATGTTGGAAACAAATCAACTCTCTTTCGTTGTTCTGTTTATAACGAGGAAAGTATTGTATAGGCACAATATCACAGAATAAGTTAGGAGTACATTATTTCCGTAGTAATAAAATTTTTGAGTTTTTATGAGTTTGAGAACAGTACATATAATATTGCATGCCCTAAACTATAGAAAACGTAACACATGAGCATTACATTTTTTTTACGCAGTCATTACTTACATATTCATAACATTCATTACATAAGTAAATAACATTTTATATGGCTTTGGTTGCATAAAATATTAACAGACACGTAAATGACAGACATGTTTAGAAATCAAATATCAATCGAATATACCAACGTTTCCACACCCTTAAAATTTATTTAAACCGCTGAATACCTTCTGCAAATCTAGGGTAAGTTAGGGCGAATCCGCCCAAAAATTAAGCAGCTGGTACGTCCTGCTCAGTGTTTGAAAATTAAATTTATGATATTGTTAGCCAAGTTAATGCTTCCCCAGTAATACTAGTATATATTTTTTATATTTGGACTGCATTTCAACTTAAAGTGCTCTATCGAAGTATATATATCCTCTACATTGTCCTATTCGTCCAATATCCGGCGAATTAATTTTACAAATACTACTTCATACAGTTGAACACTTCCTGTTTCCAAGGTAATTAATTCGGTTTGGCCACCTTTTGACTCCTTACTATTGCCTTCAGCAATTTTTCGTTAACGCAGGCATGTTCGTGGTACTTTGAAAATGTCAGTTGCATGTCTAATGCTTCTCCCTTCCCGGATAAATTTTAGAACTTTATCATAGCTTCTGCCATCACAATTGTTTCATTCAATATAATCGAGGCAGCAACACAACTGACGTCACGAAAACACCCACAACGAAGGAATAGAATGGCCGACCAAAACATAACAGAACTCCCACACCAGCAAGAACACTCAAGATAACCACAACAAACAAGAAAAAAACCGTAAGTAACATATTGTACGGTGTACAATAACTGAATATACATATATACATTTAAAAGGCTCTAACATAGTGCATCACACATTATAGAAAAGCAAACACGAGCAACTCAAGAACACCTAAATAAAACTGATGGTGTCCCACATAAACAAAATAACGAGAGGCAACTAAAATAAGAAGACACAAAATCACATTACAGTGAGCAGCAGAATCCTTAACCACAACCACCTGGACACCTGAAGATGGCCAGTTAGAGGAAGACGTGTAGGGTCCAATAAAGGAATAAGAAGAAACAATAGAGAATGACGTTGCACTTAGACGGCACAAAATCTTCTAAGTTAGATCTAATCGTACTATTCTTTGAACTTTAATTCAACGTCTTAAAAAATTCATTAAAGAATTAATATTTTTAAATTTTCCAAAGCGGTCTTCTTGAACTGACCTAGTTCATTAATATGTAAAAAGGGTTGCTATCACTCACAGTATGTTAATAATAGATTTTGCGCTCAGAACACGTGAGCACGCTTTAACCTCACTATCAACAAAAAGAAACGGTAGTTCAGTACAGCATATCTGCTTAAACTGTAACGTTAATATCTATGTCTATTTAAGAAAAAAATGTCTATGTTTAGCTTACCTTAAAATATCAGCTTCAAAACAAAACATTATCACTCAAACACAGCATTCTGTCCACAGAGCATTCCCCTTCCTACACGTTTTCTAAAACCCAGAGAAACTCTGCTAATGAAAGGAGCGATCACAGCGCCTCTAGTAACGCTGAGAGGAAAGTGCGCCTAAAACAATCCTGTTGGCCGCTCTTGCAGTTCACCCAAACATACCAAACTTCCATCTCTTTGTCATTTACGAATTCCAAATCACACCATATAAAATTACATAATATACAGGTTTATAAAAGAATATTTTGTTTCTAACTCGAGTAAATTCTGTTGGAATTGATATTCTCACACTGATGGCTATGAAGACTATTGTGTTCCGCCTAATGTAGTCCTGTAGACATTTACGAAAGCTTTGGAGGAACAACCTTTCTCAACCTTCAGATTAGAAGAGTAAGTTGCAAGCGATAAAGGCCAGTGATACATTGCATCAGTCGTAATACACGGAGTCAGAACCCAGATGACGGAAATCTTCCAATGTGGTTCTTTTGACATTAATAGAGCGCGCAAGTGAGGTGAGATATGTACAAAGAAACATGAGCCGTGATGTCTGAGGAAGAACACGATTTAATATCTAGATACATAATTCCATCTAAGTCATAAATTATTATGTCAAATTGTATTATAAATAAGTTGTATGATGTACTTCCCAGTCTTCTAGCGTTTAGGTCTAACTCTGATGACAAAGACCTAATTCAACATCTCAGTAATATTCAGACAAAATTCTGTGTTAGTGTACGAGACGCTTGATGTTGGGCTGCTAAACTGCACCATTACAACTACATACGTCACAACTGTCCCACTCATCTGAAAGAACACAAAAATTGGAGACATAAACGGCACAAGTGGAAAAATATTTACTAGCTGGTCTTCAATAAAAACTGTGAATTTCAAGACAATGCAGACCACGTATCCTGTCAGTCTGCAGCAGTGGCTGTCAAATGATGTGCTCAGTGTCTTCTGAATCAGTTACAAAATTAATTATTGCTTTGTACCACGAAAGAAATATCATTGTACTGTTTACTTAAACTCTCCTAACTTTATCATATTGCTCAGAGGGCACTAAAATAATAGGCCTCTCTCATTATAAGTTTTTTACTTGGTCTCATATCAAACAAACAATTGTTTAAATCATGGACACAATTTCTTCGCATATTTATATGGCAACTGACGTATAAAATTAAATGAACTGCAGGGAACAAAATTAACGTATATATACCTATCATTAAATTCAGTTTCTGAGCGCCAAGGGTTATAACCTCACGTAACTATTCTAGTACTTACTCTACGCGGCTTCCTTCCGATTGACTTGAGAATGAAGCTGTTGCAAAGCAGTGACACAGAAATGTATCTAATCGTATTATACGTTATAAAAGTGTATACTGCAGCCGAACCACCAGACCAGAGCCAGAAAATGGGAGCAAGAAAATCTGAGACACAAAAGGGCTTTTTGTTTCAAAACGTATTAAATTTTCACACTTACCGTAAGGAGCAGGTTCCTGTTAACGGTAAAAAATCTGAGGCCAGTGAGGGCAACATTATCTGTGGAAATCTGGACCAGAAACCGATGCACCTGCAATTAAATTAGAAAGTAATTTTATAAAGTTCATAATATTGTTAACAAATTTGATCAACGCGTTGCCAAGCAACAGCAATGTAAAGATGTCGGCTGCGGGGTTGAAGGTCTTGGTGGAGGTCCCGCGGCCTGTCTCGTTTCAGGTGGATTTTTATCAATTGACCTAACCCTTTCAGCTGCACTATGACCCTGGGGTCGACTCAGCCTCTAATAGAAATGCGTACCAGAAATCTTCATGGGGGGGCGGGGGGTAAAGGGCAGCAAGCGCATAAGGCAATTGTGGAGCAATTGGTGGAATGAAGATTGGCAGGGGAAACCGAAGTACTCGGAGAAAACCTACCTCAGCGCCACTTTGTCCACCACAAATCCCACTTGACTAGACCCGGGATCGAACCTGGGCCGCCGCGGTGGGAAGCCAGCGGCTAACCGCTTGAGCTATGGCGTGGCTCCTCGTGAGGATAACTGAGAGCTATTTCAAAGAAGTAGAGACTCCGGTCTAGAAAACCGAGATTAATGACCGTGGGAATCCGTTGCGCTGACCACGCAACACCCTCTATCCGCAAAAGTTGGCACTAACTTCGCCGACAAGCGGCGGTTGCTCGGTCGGTATAGTTTTCTTGCGGACTGAAGGCCATGGATTTTTTTCTTAAATAAAAATTGTATCCGAATTGAAAACACTTGCATATTATGGGCAGGCTTTGAATGCAAAATCTGATTCTACTTAAGTAAGTACTTCAATTGTGTAGCTCTCTGCTGGCAGAGCGTACAGGATGTCCTTAGTGGCTCGGCTCTCTTCCTGTATGCTGGCTGCACATAGCGACACGGCAACTGTTCTGAACAACAGGCAGCTGATCGACACGAAGAAATAGACCAGTTTCACCGTCCCGACGGATTTCCTGAAACAAATACTCGTAGTGATGTATCCATACAAGTCTTATCAGTCTGGTTGTCTGAATAGGTAATTCCGCTAAAATTCGGAATCTGACTCCTGATTTATTTAATCAGTTTTCGTTAGTTGCTTTGGTTATATAGTATCGAATGATTATGAATGACAAATTAAAAGGGACATAGGAAGAAGTGGTTGTGCTTTATTTTAAAATATTTTCCCTGTATGTTCATATCGGTACCCAAAAATCCGTAAAAATCAAACAGAGGGTACTCGGTCTCCAAGCTGAAACTGGAAACCCCCGGATACGTAATGGAGCCCTAATTATTCGACCAAACCAGCGTTCAGTGCACCTGTACCAGTGACTGCTAAGTGCTTCATTAATATATAGTAGAAATGGAAAAGGGCATTCTTTATTCGTAGACAGACAAATGGAACACATAGCATGAATGCTATTCTAAAATCAAAGATAAGAGGTAACTTAAATTGAATTAAAATAAACATATCATTAAAGTACATAGCTGATATTCTTCTTAATACTTAAGGACAAGTATTCCTTATATTTGGGACCGCGCCATAGCTCAAGCGGTTAGTCGCTGGCTTCCCGGGTTCGATCCCGGCTCTGGTCAAGTGGGATTTGTGATGGACAAATTGGCGCTGTGGCAGGTTTTCTCCGAGTACTTCGGTTTCCCCTGCTAATCTTCATTCCACTAATTGCTCCACAATTACCCTCACCTATCATCTGAGGCTGGTACAATAGGCCAGAAGTGGCCGCAGTACAAGGGACTTAGTCCCACACCAAATAGCAATAAAAATAATTCCTTATATTTTAAATGATTCCACTATTATATTCTGTTTTCGGAGACAGAACTGTTTTGTTTTACATTCCACGCTGCAATATAAATCTCTTCAAGTGTGTTCACAGATCCTAACATATACAAAATATTTTCTGAAGTACACATTTAAAGCGTTACGAAATATCAATAACTGTTAGTAGTGCTTTACTTTCTGAACTGACTCAGTAGCTATAGTTTTTACGTAGATACTCTGCAGTCTTCCTTATCTAGTTTGTAGCTCCAATGTCAGAAGATTATTTGAGGCTATTATTTAAAATCTATGGCCACAGAAAATTATTTGCCAATTGATTCAGTAAAGGAAATTTTGATCCGTAGAAACCGGCACAAGGAACATACAGGAATACCTCAGAGTGTTATAGAGCTGCTGGCAGATGTAGAACATGTTGGTAGCAAATGACAGTAGGACGATGCTAGATATGCAAGAGTCGAGGAACTTTGTCAGGACAGACAGACTGTTGTAATTCTCACGTGCCTCCCTCCAGAAGGTTTCAGGCTGAACCTAAGAAGGAAAGATAACTTTTCTGTGTATTATATTCTTAATATTTTCTTCATAATGTAACACTGTGCTAACAGTACCTGTAAGTATAATACTGCTTATAACAGATCCCGATTTTGGCACATTTGTCAGTGAGTTCCATATCATAACTAATTTTCCTTAAATCTGTCTTAACATGAACCTCAGCAGTGATTTTCAAGAAGGGTCGCTGTCATGACCTCGACTTGCAGCACTGCTCACACTAGACAGCAAATGTATGCCATGCGTATCTGCGGTGTCACAAACAAAAACACACTCCGTGGCTTTAATCCGCGTGTGAACTATACCAACGGAGAAGTAGTGGGCCTGGAACGGGGTCCACTCAGCTTCGTGAGGATAATTGAGGAGCTACTTGAATGGAAAATGCGTCTACCCTACTAACCGGCTGCAGACACATCAAGTGTTTACGTTGGCGAAACCACGCCCAGTTCACAGTAGTGCGTTTCCAATTACGAAAGTAACTCTGTAAATACTGAGTATAGGACCCAGGTTTATACGACACATTTTGCTCAAAATATCTTCAGAAATGAGCTCCATTAGTGGCGGTAAATCCTCGTGAATCACCATGTAGATTCCTGTATATTAGTTTGAAGTGGAAATACTTTATATATTTTTTTCTTTTCCCATTTTTGAAATTCTATATTGCATTCGATGCCTTTAAAAAGCTGTATATATATTTTTCTGTCCATGTTTCCATGATCCGTTAGTAGGAGAGTAAACTCCTCTGTACTCGAACTATTGTACTTAGATAATATATTCGTACAGTAACAGTGGAAACACAAGAGGAGCTGTTCTGAAATAAATACTTGTGCTTATGCCTACTTACAAAGTACAGTATGATGATGTACAAGAAGACATAAGTAACCCTAAAGTGCAGCTAAGTATGAAAGCCGACAAACATTCAGCAAGCCGTGAATGCTCCCTTCTCTAATAAACAGTGCAAAGATTCGTTAAGTGCATATTTCATCATCATTATCATTTACTATGATAAATATGCACTTAACGAATTCCTGATATATTTTCGACTGAGATGTGTATAAATTACATATAATCGAAAGAGAAATGTTCACGATCTTCGATCCAACATTTTGTTTCGTGCATTAAATGATAAATTTGCAAATTTACATCATTGATGCCCGACCCTCAGAAAACGTCGCTTTTCCGTAATTATTATGCTTGCATTTGTTTCCCATATTCCTGGAGTGAGGTCAGTCTGCTTCCTGTTAGTTATTATTCTGCTTCCCTTCATTCTGTTTCTCCGTTCAAATCTCATACTTTCATAACTTCAACCATTTTTTCTCGTAATATATATTACATGTATTATTCGTCCCAAAACAAAGTGAGAAAAGTATGCAGCATATGTTTGGACAAGAAATACTTTAACTGTTGGCTTCTTCCATTAACAGTGATATTGCGTTAATAGCAGCCGTAAAGATTTGTATGTTTTACCTAAACTGTCAACCCTTGATGTAATCTGGGTCACGACTCCAGTAAAATGATGCCCTCTCGCGAAGGGTAGGTTAGATATAACTGGTGACAAATGTACAATTTTCTTATTTTAAGTGCGCCAGAAACCTCAGGCCGATTTGGTTATAATAAGTGGGCGGCAGGTTTAAGCCGTCTTTCTGGAGCTCAGTCTACGCCTACGTGTTCTAAACATCAGTAAGTCTATATTGCGAGCCGTGATAGCGTAGCATAGCGACTGGCTACAGGCTGGATGAAAAAAGGTCCGAATTCGAGTTCTGGTAGTCAAGAATTTTCTCTTCTTCACGTCGTCCAGATCGACCATGGGGTTCACCCAACCTCCTATCCAATGGATACTGGGGGTCTCTTTCCTCGGGGCTAAAGCGGCCGTGTCCTGAAATAGACAATTCTTCCCCAACTAGTGCCAATACCAAGAAAATGTGGATCTATACACCCAATCCCTCATACGCCTTCATGGTGTAGTTCTTAATTAACTAAGCACAGGCACAATTTTACCTTTACTTTTAGTAAATTTGTATTTTATAGAGAAGCGAGATTCGTGTTGAAATTACAGCGATATACTATGTACAATGATCTCATACTCTCCGGAAATATGGCTGGGTTGTTGCTTTCGATTCATCGAAAGCGCTGTCGAATGATTAGAACCGCTGCTTCCTATTAGAGAGTTCTAGAAATAAAATCTCGGCCCGGCGTACTGCCACCGTAGCAGATGTTTGTTGCTTTCCTCACTCCTGCCAAGCAAGTCCCGGGATATTATCTCAGGTAGAGCACTGTCACTTCTTACCAAATACCATTCAACTGGGTCTGCTTGTTCAGTAATCAGCTTCCCGTTCGACGCTATGTATTCTGAGCCATTTAAAACGTCGATAAAAAAAGGTTACTACAAATGATTAATTCTATTTTAAAACACTATAATTTCTAAAGTACTATACATACAAATATGATTATATATGAAAAGAACCGCATACTCACTGAGTTTCCATCATGATACACCAGTTGGAATTATGAGTGCAGTGCCTCACAAAATGGCGGCGAAGCTGGAAAAGAGTTTCTGTGTGTTGGAATATGTGAGAAGTTCGTCTGTTATTTCAGTGCAGCGTGCTTTCAGAGCACAGCACAGAAAGGAACCGCCATGTAAACAGAGCATTCTGCGGTGGTATTGTCAGTTTAAGGATACTGGTTGTCTGTGTAAACGGAAAAGCACGGGGCGACCAATACAGTGTTTTGAAATGGAATGAATCATTTGTAGTATAGTATAGATAGTTGTTCTATATGTACCACTTGCTTTAATGTACTAAAGTCTGCATTCTGCCCACAGTGTGTGTTCGTATATTTCGTACGATCCTCACAATAAACAGCTATTTTTTCGCCATAAAGAGTGTTAACCGGTTGATATTTATAGCGCATAATTAATTTCTTTTTCTGTGAGACAAGAACTGAGTGTTTATACAATATCTGGAAAAGCATGGCTGTTACAGTTACCCCAAACATCGAAGATGGAGGACTACTGATTTTGTTTCAGCTCAACAACAACAACAGCAAAACACAAAAATATTTGTAAAATGAACAAGTACCTTCCTCACTGAAAATTTCAAAAGGCTATTCAGCAACCTGAAACGACTCGACAGAGCCATGCTAAGAACAATTACAAACAAATCAATGAAGTTCCAGTAGAATGAAGCGAAGAAGTTGACGATTTCGCAGAGAAAAGCTAGAGGTAGTGAAAACTGGACAAACTCAAATACGAATCGGTAATTCATCAGCCAGTAGAGCTGGAGTAGGTCTCTCTTCTTGTCTGAACAAAGCGCCACGGTGCAGATGACCGTATACTTCGCTAGGAAATGTTCCCCTGAAAGGAAACACATTGATTACTTGTAAACACATTATCTGCATCTAGGATATGCCATTTAATCAAATATAACAATTAAGCCAGCAAAATAATTTCGAAGTATGTAAGATTTGAGGTTTTCACTTCGGTGACTATGAAGAAAGCAATCTTCTGCGATTTGGCACCGTGTATATGTGGTGTTAACCGACGTTTCGGAGGAACGTATCGCCTCCATCTTCAGGGTAGAAGGAAAAATATAAGAAATCCGCAGGCGAAGAGACCGTGAGAACCGGTACAAGTAGACTGCTTGCAGATTTTCTTCTTTTTACATTCTACCCTGAAGATGGAGACGATACGTTCCTCCGAAACGTCAGTTAACACCACATATTGACGGTGCAAAACCCCAGAAGGCTGCTTTCTTCAATTTCGAAGTATGTTCTTTCATTTCTTCATTCAGTCGCAAATTGACTGGCATTCTGCTTCGATCAGGCAGCTCCTTTCAATCGTAAGTTCATTCCACCCAATCGATTCACTCACCCAGCGCGATTGCTAGTGTTACAGCCGACATAATTCTAATCCTGAGATAAAGATTCCTCGGATATCCGTATTGTATTTGCTCATGTTCAGTTCTTTGCCACAATTCCTCTAGACGAGGCCATCGTCGGGCAAGGCTCATGAAGCAGAAACAGCATGACAAGCCAAGGGTGTAGAGCACAACAGTAGCTGCAATGAAAATATATTTATTACGTGGAATTAAATTAGCGTGTAAATACAAATTAGACCGCATCTGTGGTCTAGTGGTCAGAGTTTCTGGCTACAGATCTAGAGGTCCCGGGTTTCTTTCCCGGCGCTACCAGATTTTCTGAGAAGTAATGGGTCTGAAACGGGGTCCACTCAGCTTCGTGAGGATAATTGAGGAGTTACTTCAAGGAAGTAGAGGCTCCGGTATAGAAATCTGAGATTAACGGCCATGGGGATCCGTTGCGCTGACCACGCGACACCCTCTATCCACTAAAGTTGTCATTAACTTCGCCGACAAGCGGCGGTCGCTCGTTCGGTATAGTTCATTTTCGGATACAGCCTCATGAGGTTGAGTGGATCTCGTTCCGGACCCACTACTTCTAATAAAATCTGGTAGCGTCGGAAATCGAACCAGGGACTTCTGGATCTGTAGCCAGGAACTCTGACCATTAGACCACAGAGGCTGTGAGTTTGGAAAACTTTCGGTGGAATGTTCATCAGGTAATACACAATGAAGTAAATTAGCCAGTCGTCTACAAAACTAACAATAACACTAAAATGCCTATGTGAATTTTAATATTTCTATACAGGACATTAAGACGCGTGATTTTTAGTTATAATTACTTACAAGAAGAAATTGAAAGCGCGTAACTGAAGTGCGTAGAAGTTTAAATTGTGTAGTCATTTGTTGCGCGGCCACTTATGGTAGTCTGATTTTCAGTGGAGAGATTTCAGCTCTTCTCATGCTCTTTCACGGGTCTTCCTCCATTAGGAGGAAGAACCATTAACTTTCTACACACTTACTCACTCACTCATGGAGCTCAGCCCTTCTGGAGGAGCTGCCAATTCTGCAGCTACTCAAGAATTTCCCAGCATGATATGGAACCAGAAAGTTCATTACCGTGTTCACAAGGGTCCTCCATTGTTCCCTATCCTGAGCCAGATCTATTCAATCCATACCATTCCATCCTATCTCTCTAAAATCCATTTTAATGTTGTTCACCCACCTACGCCTTGGTCTTCCTTGTGGTATTTTTCCTTCTGACTTTCCCGCCAATATCCTATACGCATTCCTCGTCTCCCCCATTCGTGCTACATGACCTGCCCAACTTTCTACACACGTAAGTCATTAAATGATATTAACTTTATTAAAATATACTGTCGCGTGTTTGCTAGGCAACGCTACAAGGAATTGTGTGGGTTCTCGGATTTGAACGAATACTTTTACTGGACAGTCACTTTTACACTCACAGTTGTTCTCAACTTATAGAGCCCTTTAGACGCTTCCTCTCCAATGTTACATCACTTCTAATTCAGTCGGATAAGAACTCTTTCCTGCTAAAGTCGAATACAAACTGTGTTGGTCTCTGGTCGACGTTGTACTGTTATAACTTACCCTCGGACTGAATAAGGAACACCTTGTCGAAGGGTTAATTCCACCCGCTCTTATGCAACGAACGCGGAAGTACATGTCTGCCTCAAACAATTCGTGTTTAACGGTGGAAACCCCACTGTTTCACTTTTATTTCCGGGGCAACGACTTCCTAGACTTCGCCGCCTAGAAATTGCTAGCCGTTGTATAGCAATGGATGCGTTCTGATTCCAAATATTTCGGCCCTAAGGGGCATGTCACAATATTAACACTACCTCTTTTTCTCACTGGGAGTCACATTATTTTTAAAATATTTCGGACCATTGTTTTTGACACTTCTGACGCAAATTTAATTACGTTTAAATTAACGCAAAGAATGTAGACCTCCATTTGAAACAGAACCTCCGACTTCTTTGTTCTTATCCTCGAAAGAGGAGCAAGGACCCACGTCCTAATTGGTTCATTATTAGCAAGCAAATCTTCGCGCTGCAGAGAGTTACGTGATTGACGCTGAACTACCGCACAAACTTCACTGGTCTGACTGGATATCAATCCACGGTACACCATAGATGCAGCTGGATTACATCATCCATTCTTTCTAGAATTTTCCACATGACGAAGCGTCCCACAACACAAAGAAAATTCTCGAAATCTTAAAACTTCACAAATATTGCGTCATATTACATCATACTTACTTCAATAATGCGTAATTATATTAAAAAATTAACATGTAATATAATGTAATTAAATTAATATATAAATGTGTAAATATGGCGCTGCTAGAATAAATAAAATATTTGTAATGTCAGGTAAACAGCAAAAGAATTACTACAGAGACAAGAAATGTTCCTTAATCAATTTTTCTATAGAATTTCACGGGAATAAAACTTAAAATAAATATCTTATGGTATTTAATTGAATTCCAAAATGTATCACTGTGAAAGTGTGCGCTTACCGGAAGTCTCGAAAGTGAAGAAGCCCTTTATGTAAAAGGCAATGGTAAATCCACAAGCGGCTGTCATGCCCAAAATCATGACAATGCAGTAGCCGACACGCCAACTGCACCAGGTGAATCTGACGGAGCAGAAGACAAAGGTATTAAACAGAATGGGAGTATTTCGGAAAGAGTTATGCCTATTTTTTTTCATTGTTTTATAGCCTCTCAAAATTATTCTCGTTTGTGTACAATTTCTTAAACACGGAGACCAATTTTCATGTTCACGAAAGCATAAGAATTTCTTGACAGGTTGTCAAAACAGAAAAAAAAACATACCATATTGTCGTAGTTATTTAAAAATGGAGTCCCTTCAAATAAATAATACCGTAAAAAACGGTTTTCTCATTTTTAGCATATATTAATGTAAAAATCTCACACTGAATATGTCATTCATCATCATCACTGGCGCGACAGCCCTTTGTGAGCCCTGGCCTTCCTCAGGATTGCTCACCATTCTTCTCTATTCGATGCTACATTCCTCCAGTTCTTTATACCCAAAATTCTTATGTCCTGCCACACACATTCTTCCCATCTCAATCTTGGTCTTCCCACTTTCCTATTTTCTTCCGGTTTAGTATTAAGTACTTTTTTAATCGTTCTATTCTCGCTGGCATGTATTGTGTGTCCAGCCCATTCAAGCCTTTTCACCTTTATAAATCCAATAATGTCTGGTTAATTAAATAGTTTGTATAGCTCATGGTTATACCTCTTCCTCCATATTCCATTATCTTCCACTGGTCCAAAGATATATCTCAGGATCCTCCTTTCAAATATACTTAACAGTCTTTCATCCGATCTTGACAGTGGCCAGGTCTCAGAGGCATAAGATAACACTGATCTTATAAGTACTTTATATATCACAGTTTTGGTTTTCCTGGGTGTTAATTGGGATTTCAGGTGTTTCCTAAAGCCATGGAGACATTTATTTGTCGCAAGTACACGCTTCTTATTTCATCACTGATGTCATTTTTACAGTTAACTTCTGATCCAAGGCAAGTAAAACTACATAAACCTCAAATTTATATGAGCCAATTTCAATATATGTAGGTCCATTAGCACAGTCTTTGTTGGTTACTTGCATGTACTTTGTTTTATTTTGAATATGTCTTTACAGGATCTAATTTTCCCCATATGTCTGAGATGCTACGATAGCAAACATAGAGAAGTTCGATGGTGAAGCTCTTTAAGAAAACATGCAATGAATAAATGTTAAAGAGATCATACATGTATATTAAGCATCATATTCGTGGGTATAGTGACTAAGCAGAGGTTGGAAAATCGGGGTACAATTCCTTGCGGCAGTAAAGGTATTTCTTTTTATCACAGAAATATTAGGGACCTGTGGCCTCCAAAACTTCATATATAGCGTGTAGTGCAAATATCTTCCGGAGATTCTAGTTATGAAGTTAAAAATTTCTTACCCAGTATGCCTACAAGGCCATGGATATTTATACTGTCACATGTATGGGTTACTATAGACGGGGTTTGGATTGGAGATTGGATTTTGGCCACTTACAGACCGAAAGTACAAGTAATTGAGCACTATCGCTAATCTCCACAATTTAGAAATCACAGCACATGCTAAGCCTTCTCAGTCTGCTTTCACTAGTAGTTTCCCGGAAACGGATCTTAAGAGTGGAGATTCTTCAGCTTCTGTGCTCACGTCGTTACTACCCGGCGAATATCCTACAACTGAACTGTTGTTCCAATTGACTAACTCCCAGGCTGGCGGCCATCTCACATCAACCTCCACATCTTCTCTTCACAGACTGAATTAACAACTGACTAAATTCTATATTTTCCTTGGTCACATCTCGACACGGACCGCACAGAAGACACCGCTTCCAACATTTCCTCTATTGTTACTCGTGGACTCGTTCACATGGGAATCTGTTTCGCGGTCGCTACCTAGTAACGGTTCTACACGTTAGATCACTATAAAGTTTAGCTGAAGCAACTTCTTACCTGTACGATTAGGGTAACAGAGCGAAAGATCGAGGTTATAATTATGGATTTCACCGCAAATTTCAAAAGGTTGAATTTTGGTGGGAAGATATATAGATCAGATATTACGTTTGTTTCTTACATAGTTAAATTTGTCTGCATTTTACTTAGCAGGAGCCGGGCTAGCTCAGTCTGTACAGCAAAATTCTATAAGCTGAAGATACCAGGCTTCGATTTACGACAAGGTAATGGGTTATTCTGTATCCCACAGCGTCCAGACCGTCTCTGGGTTCCACCCAGTCTCCAATCTAATGGTAACCGAGGGTTCTTACACCGGCGGTAAAGCGGCTGGAGCAGAAACTCGTCACTCACCTCCACCTACTGCAGAGAACAAGAACGGTGGAGCTATACCTTCACTCCTCATAAGTTTCAATGACGTGGTACTTAATCAATTAAGAGTTGGGAAGATTTTACCTCTCTTTGGGATTTCGCTTAGGGGTATAATTGGTATAATAGACCAGAAGTGGCCACAGTAAAAGGGACTTAGTCCCACTCCACTAACAATAAAAAAATATGGATATAATCCTAATAATAAGGAGCTGTAACGTACCTTACGTCATGAGCGTTGAGACTGGTGATTCCTTGCACAGGACAAAGGGCGAAGCATTGTGCCATCAACATGAAAGAACTCATTGCTCTCCTAAATGAGTTCTGATCACTTCCCTTGTCATTTACGTGGCGTATGTCTCTGATGCGCTTGTTGGCATAAAGCTTTGTGACACTTGATCTTAATGTGGAAAGTAAGGTAAGATATTTCGGGGTCATTCGAACATTTCGACGTGGTTTTGCAAAATCCCCTGTAGGGGCAACATTCGCCAAGCCTGTACAACAACAAAATACATTAACGAGATTAAGAAATTAAATTAGGTATGTTATCCACCCCTCTATTTGTTTACGGCTGTGAAACAGAGGTATTACAAAGAAAATTTCGGCGAAAATCGCTCTATTAGGTAGGTCTATTTATAGTATTAAGCCTCTGATGATGCAATTAGAGAAGGAGCATCCACGAAATCCGAAGGAAGACAATAAGTAACATCAATCATATTCATCAAGAAGTTCTAAATATATAAATAGGACAAGTGCCTGTTCTAATGGGGCCATATTATGGAAGTTCGTATGTTCATAATTTATTTACTGAAGACGTCGATTACTGGAACTTAAATAGTCTCGCATCTGTGAGCATATTGTCTAGAGAAAACATGGGAGCCTCGACGTCTCACAACTCCGTGGGCCTTCAAGGCATGTTACAGGGATAGCTTTACCTTTTATATAGCTTCGAAATTTCTGGTGAACATGAGTACTGAATCAGAACGAAGGCGGAATAAAGCAGTAATGTCCTAATTTGAGGCACTATCCCGTCGTCTACATGCAGGGAACGAGTAAATCCACTAAGAACCCCATTTATAATAATAGGTGCTCCAGTCGAGACTCAGAACGAAGAAAGCAGACTGCTTTTACCGGTTCTCACGGTCTCTTCGCTTGCAGATTTCTTATATTTTTTCTTCTACCCTGAAGATGGAGGCGATACGTTCCTCCGAAACATCGTTTAACACCACATATACACGGTGCCAAATCCCAGAAGACTGCTTTCTTCATAGTCACCGCCGTGAAAGCCTCAAATCTTACATAACTCAGAACCGTTGTCACTTGAATCCCACTCGTTCGGTGCGAAACTGTAAAGCAGCAAATCAGATCTCAAGGAATGCGGTGTATATTCTAACAATAACAAGTACAAACAGTTAGTATGGGTTGGACATTCCTTGTGCAGCATAGTGACCAACCGCTTCTGAGGAGTTACCTTATCTTCTGATGCAAAAGCATAGACAAACGTGTTGTTGTCGCCGGCACCGTAGAACAGGACGTCAACATTTTGGTCGAATGGTTCTTACTTCCGCTTTGTATTCCGGAAGTACCGGATTTGGTTCAAATTTCGGATCGAAGGCAAGATAATATGATGAGGGCTTTTGTAGTATTTCTGAAGCTCTACAGACAGACCCTTCAGCGGCAATTTAAAATAGGTGTTGTTCGCTTCCTTACATGTCTTTTGTAATTCACAAATAACGGTCATTTACTGTTGGGCGCTACATAATATTATCTATGTATAGCTCTATAGTCCCCTTGTTGACCACTTTTTCATTTTCTTAATTCTATACAAAGTCGGTAGGACTTCTGGTACGGGGGAGGCCGATACCTACACACAGAACAACACAAACACAGAATACATGCATACACACACCAAATACTATACGTGCCCTGAGTGGATTCGAAACTATGATCCCAGAGTCCGAGGTAGGAGGAGACAGTTAATGCCTTAGAGAGCGTGGCCACTAAGATTGGCCTATATAATCAATACATATGATAAAGCGTCGTTAAATGACTAAAGAGTGGTGTCAATTAGTAATTGATTTCTGTTACTTCAGAAATGCGAGGTTACCGCTACTGAAATTTGGGATTTAGAAACGTCCGTTGTTTAACTAGCCAGAAGTTCGAAGGAAAGGTTTTACGTACCTGAATAACAGAACTTACTTTCCATTGTTGATGCAGACAAGTGTCTGTAGACCTCCGCGTCGTCTTCCGCTGAATGTAAACAATCTGAGTATATGTAGCAGTATTTCTCTTCAGGTTAAGTACATGTATTGTAAATCAAGCTGAATGGTAAGCCTGAGATCGAAGCCAGCCTGTCACGAGGAATGTTAAAATTAATCTCACATTTAATGGCGAATTGATATTCGAAAACATCTGGTGAATAAGGAACATGTAGATTCATATTGTGGTTCTCTGAGTCATGACACTTTATAGTCCAGCAGATGGTATCAACATTTCGAAGGACCGTACTGTCTCCACTTTTAGGTTAGTTGGAGGCTTCACTTTCCCACAAATTATTGATATCTTTTTCAAATGTCATATATACAACGTTGAAGTTTGCCTAAATTTATAAATGAGAAAAGAGTACCATTATAGTGGATATGTTAGGTGAAAATAACAAAGTTAGTCATACTTTAGAATAAATCAGTCAATAATTGTCCTAGTAGGCAATGCTTTGCACTACTAAACAAACTCCGTGGCCTGTAGTCCGCGAGCGAACTATACCGATCGAGCGACCTCCGCTTGTCGGCAAAGATAGTGACAACATTAGCGGATAGAGGGTGTCGCGTGGTCAGCGCAATGAATCCCCACGACCTTTAATTTCGGTTCTCTAGACCGGAACCGCTATTTCCTTGAAATAGCTCCTTAATTATCCTCACGAGGCTGAGTCAACCCGTTCCTGACCCACTACTTCTAAGAAAATCTGGTAGCGCTGGGAGTCCAACCCGGAACATTTGGATCTGTATCCAGGAACTCTGACCACTAGACCACAGAGGCGGTCCCTTGCAATACTAGTTTTTGTAATTATTATTCTGACAAATAAAACAATAACTTAAGTTGACGTACCTCGTTTCTCAACTTATCTGGAACTGATTTCGTGCTGCATATGAAGTTGACAACAAAAGTATGGCATCTCCTCATCTGTTGCTGTTGGCATGTAGCATATTGGACTGTGGGCTGTAGGGCCTACGCCCACATAGGGTTGTTACTGCTGATACAAAACTAATGATAAAGGGAGTTATTCTGGGAGTGACGAGCATGTGAAAAGAAGAAAAATAAACCGTATACACTTTATAAACAAGGATTTTAAAAATAAGTTACCGTATTGAGACGACTGCCGAATGTTGTTTTAGTTTTCAGTGAAAGTGGAAAATGGATTTATTGCTGAAGAATTCTGTCTTCTGGAATACAATGGATTGTAGTCAGTTGGAAATTAACCGAAGCTGCTTGGCATTTTCTTTCACGCAGGTTTCTTTCTCGGCTTCTTCTTCGACCCTGAAGAAGGGTTCCTCCGGAACTTTGGTTTACTTTAAACGGAACCCACGACATTATATCTCAGAAGACAGAACTCTTAGTAACACTCTCTGTGAGAACCTCACATAACATTGCTCTATTGCTATTTCTCTGTATATAAACGAATGCATAATGGGAGGTATTCGTCCGCATGTCTTAAATAAAATTGTAGGGATCTACATTAAACAACGTGGAGTAATTCTATTTTTCATTTTTATCCTCCAAATATGTACCGTAATTTACATGAAGTTGAAATAGAATGTCGATTTGTTCGCAAAGGAGAGTGGACAAAGCATTCTACCTAACACAAAGTACAGTCAGCATTAAGGTTGCTCTCTGCCATTTAAAATCATACTGGCACCCAATGGGCAAGTTAACGAAATAGAGGAATCAACAGTCGCTCAGCTAGTCACAACAATAGAGTAGCTCTCGTTCATTAAACAAGAATAGTCGTTGCAGTGTTCATAAGGGATCGCCAATTCTGCTTACCCTGGGTCACTCGGATTACATCCATATTCTTACGTCCCACAAATTGAAGACATGTCTTAAAACTATCTACCCCTCTACCATTGTCTCCGAGGTGGAATTTACTTTTAGAGAAGTGGAATAAATTGTAACAAAAATAAATTAACAATAATCACAACGGTGTCTCTGTGTTTAACCGAAAATCACACCATAAAGATACGTGGGGGAGTGGAGGTACAGCTCCGCACATTCTTATCCTAATCACTAGATGGATAGCGAGAATTCAGACTGAAGCTCCTGAGACAGAGCCTCCAGCAATTTTCATATAGGAGAGTGGGGGACCCAGGGCAGGTATGGATACGGAGGTGAAAGGAAGCATCCCTGTCCACACCTGGAATCGAAACCTGATTCTCTGATCATCTTGTCTACAGCTTAGTCCCTATTCTATCTATCTATCTATCTATCTATCTATCTATCTATCTATCTATCTATCTATCTATCTATCTATCTATCTATCTATGTCTTCCCGTTGCTACAACTTGGAGCACAGGGCATCCGCGAAAAACTTCGTTTCACTTCACCTTCTTATGCTTGGAGAGTCCGTAGGACTCATTGGAAGGGAGATCAGCCCGACGCAAGACCGCTACCTACACAGTACAATACAAACACAGAATAAACCCACACACAGACATTTCATGCCTTAGACCGCTCGGCCACTACGATCGTCAGAGGCAAATACAAACCTACAATGTGGTTAACACCACATCTACACGGTGCCAAATCCCAAAAGACTTCTTTCTTCATAGTCACCGCCGTGAAAGCCTCAAATCTTACAAACCTACAATTGCTTGCGACTTGTTATACCCGTGCAGTATTGAGGTGTAAAGAAGAAACATTCTATTCTTTTTACACTTTCGCCGTATTCTTACTTTCAATTAATTTTTATTAGTTTCAGCATCTTTCGTAACGTCTAAAACATTCAACTGCAGTTCAGACAATACAGAAATTAAACAGTAAAAAGTATAAGCATAACTCAATGTGAAACACATTGGTTAATCCTGTATGTGTAGTTATGAGTTGCAATTTTATTGCAAACACCCGAATATTTTCAGTGTTGAAAAGAGAAGCTGCAATTCATTCACGTAATAATTGTATTATTACAATTGTTATAATTTATTTCAGAGTAACCACACATTTGTTCTCTTATTCCAAATTAATTTCTAATCATTGTGTATAGATCACTGAACGTCTCTTTCCCATTAGCTCGGATATACAGTAACAAAATTTTGCTGACGAATGCCCAATTCACATGTAACTTTACAAGGAAGCATATGACAATACTCGGAGCGCCACAGAACTTCGTCTGCTGCTCCATGATACCAATTACCTTTTCGAGTAAAATTTAAAAGCATTGAAGCATATTTAGTTGCCTCCGAAAGCTCCCGAAACCTAAAGAGCTTAAAAATCAGTTACAAAAAATGTCCGAGAGAGTGTTCTAAGTCATGCTTCTCTGAGAACCATTAAGAGTGTTTCTTATCTTATTTGAACGTGAGTAGAAACAAATCCTTCTTACTACAAATATATCCTAATATCAACACAATTAGAATTAAATGTGTTTTAGAATACTTAGTTTCAAGGGAGAGAAGAAATCTATTATACCCACTGCGAAGGTAAGTGTGTTTGTAATTAATCTGGTGTACATTTCATAAAAATTGTTTACCTGAAGATGTCCAACAATAATAAAAAATAATAATCTATAAGTATAAAAATTTGTTCAGCTAAATATCGCTGAAAAAGTAGTTGAATCAAAAGTAAGTTTTATCCAGTTGTTTTGTTGCCCAGTGACAAAAATATCACTTTACTCCTTGCTCGAATTATGTATAAGCTCAAGATAACATTTTGGTTTAGAGAACACAGGTGTGATCCATTTAACGATTTTCAAGATATCGATCCTTTGTTCCTACGGACGATTCTTCACATCCTAAGAACACCTTGTACGATAAAATACTTTTAATTGCGATGATTTATCGGGAATAAAGTGACAAATCACACACTGGTACTTCGATCTAGTAATGCAAAACTCTTTCTGCTTGATTTAATTATATATGCTTCAGTGTAAAATAAAGAATTCTACTCCAGAACGTCAAAATCGACTCTGGGGCCCACCCAGTCTTCTATTCAATGGGTACCTGGGGCACTATTCCATAGGGTAAAGCGGGAAAATCGTGAAGCTGACGACACCTCAAATTATTGCCGATGTCAAGAAAGGTGAAGCTACACCTCCACTTCCCCCTATGACTTCATGGTATGGTGCTTAACAAATTAAGCACAGAGACAACTTTACCTTGTACTCTGATCGCTGCTCCGCTTCATGCTGATTTCTAGCTTTGCTTACTCTTCGGTCCTGAAGATGGAGGCGGTGTGTTCCCCCGAATCGTCGGTTGAATATTAACTGCTCCCCGTTGCTTGTGTAAGCTACTGCTGTGTAGAAAACTTATATACATACATAAGGTTCATATGCCTACACACAAACAACTACAACCAAACACATAGGTGTACTTGCTTGCATGCATATATGTATAACTATAGATACATATGTATATACATATATATTTGCATATGTATATAAATACAGACATATGTACATACATATAACAACTTAATACACATGAACGATCATTACGGGGCAGAGTGTCCACACTCCAATCAGACTTATTTTTACAAAATTTTTACAACGCTTGCAAACGAAATTGTTTTCAAATTCGATGCGTGTGAACGCCTTATTTGTGAACAAGCCATTATGTTGTCACTACAGGACATTGATCTGGACTTTCCACATCGTTAATATTTCCACATACTAGAAGCTCTCGCCATTGTAAAGTCCGCTGTATTGTCCTTTATTTGCGCAAGCAAATGACAGCTGTTAATGAACGTCAAAGCTACGACGTTTTCTGCTGTAAATTACACGTTGGCACAGAGATCTGGTCATTACTGTCAGTACTGCTGCCTTTATAAACACAAAATTTTGTGTGGCTTATGTTTCAAGGTATGGTTTTTTGACAATTCTGGCCTCCGGCTACCTGAATTTGGTGAAATTATGAAATTGGATTCAAATGAAAAGGAGAAAACCCTATTTGGCTGTAGACCTACGTATATGGGATGTTTCAGGGTTTGATGTATTAACTTAGGGAAATTATGCCTGAGTCTTTTTCCAGACAGGTATGCCGTATAAACATATTCCTAATCTCAACAGTAACAGAGCAACCGACCTTTGAAATTCAAGAATGTTTTAGACCTAAATCACGATAATATAATATTCGCAGCACGACAAAAGGCCAAGCCTATTCATAAGAGACAACACTATCCTCTCGTCATAGAGGATGTTTCGTAAAGATTATGACCCCCAGGGTTCAGTTATAAGAAAAAATCTCTGGCCGTGATCTTTAAGGGCTTGGCACCAAGAGGAACTCATTGGAGGTAAAACGAGAGTCCCAAGGCAACTGTAATTTTGATTTCGAATAAGGTCATGGAGAGTGAGTCCGAAGGCTCCAAGACAGCCAGAGGAGACAGTCCCGTAGGACTCAGAACTAAGAATTACTGTGCTGGCAAGGGAAAGCAGCAGTATAACAGCCAGTCAATTAGGTCATGAGTCCCGTGATACTCGTAAAAAAGAATCGTTGTGGTCTTGAAGAACAGCAGCAATTGCCAGCCAACCAACCATCAACAGAAAGTTGCCAGCCAGAGAAGACAGGAACCGATGAACATGGTAGCTGAGGAATCTACATTGTTGGGAGCCGTAATCTAACAACTGCTAGTGAAGAAAAATTGGGAATATTTAATGCGTGATGTAGTGAGTAGAGTGGGTGAATTAGTGAGAGCGTTATAATTGCTTGTAGTTACAGTTTATAAGTGTTCAATAAATCCAATTACCAATCAAACCACAATATCTAGTCACTAAATTGTGAAAATACCATTTCGCAAATTTAAAATAAATGACGAATGCATAAGTACGTTAATTCTAAAATCACAAGTTTATAGCTCTGTTACTAACACGTATTTCACCTACACAAATACCTTCCATGCAGACACCATTCAGAGATAAATTATCAACACATATTTCGTCCATACAGATCCCAGTCATACCGCAAATATCTACATAGGCAACGTTCACGGAGGTACTCCCACACAGATAACAATTACACGGAAGTCATCAACACAGTTGCCACCATAAATACAGACAAGATTTCCATAAGCACCTTCTCACACTCACCATATATCCGGAAATCAACCTACGGACACCTCTGGAGTAGACATCAGCGACATCATGCAAAACTGGCAGAGGAGTCATCGGCCATGAATAGAATGAAAATTTCGGAAAGTATAATGAAACTTGAAATGAAATCACTGATTACAAAAGAGAAATATTTAATGAAATTAAAGATTGGAAGAATATTAAATCAAATCTAACTCTTCTGGTAGAAAAATCAACAAACCAGAGAGCGACAAAGCAGAGGAATCAGCAGGGGTAACCAAGATAAGGAATACGAAGACTGGGTGTCTATAAAGGAGAGCGCTGAAACACTTATCTGTCAAGATAATGAGACTGAAATATTATTTTAGCCACTGTCATTTACCCTTTCGCAATTACTTGGCATTCCATTTAGAATTGCAAACATGAAGAGTTCTTGGCTTTAGAATGGAAAATTTAAAACTTTCTTCTGTGCTGCTTCGTAGCTCAACAAAGCGTCTGGTCTAAACCAACTGTAATTTCAACAGCGCAGAATTTCAAAGGAAGAAGAGCTAATAATTTAAGGCACAATTACTAATCATATATTAATAATTATAATTGTACACGAAGTTGGTTATTGAAGTAAACTGATGTAAACTTACAACACTAGGATAGCCAAGGAAAGACTATAGTATTTTTTATAAATACAAGGGAAATATAAAAAGGAAAGGCATTTTTGATTTACTGCAATTTTGGTGTGAGCATTGAAGACGATGGTGGATATAATCATGACTTATGAACCCTCTGCTTTGCATTTGGTTGAGCTCCATTCTCTTCTCAATAGTGATCGTAGGGTAATATGGTTCGAAGAACAATGATCTGCCATCTGATAATATCTTCAGAGGAGGGTGAGAAATCTACTGTAAATTAAGGAAGAACGACATTTTTGAGTATGAGAATTCAGTGCTTGGTGGGCATGTATTCTTCATATGTATGTTATTCGTAGCCCTCAACTGCAGCGTACATTGAGATTAAGGATTAGATGATTAGCGTATCCAAATGACGTAGCAGCACTGATAAAACTGCAACTGAAATGAGTATCAGCCATAGAAAGGATCAGAAGAGAAATGAGTTAACGCGCAAGTAAAAATTAAATTTTAATGTAATTAGAAAAAGTGACAATTTTGTGCAAACATACTTATAATTAAGAAAGTCGTCTTCTGGGTT